GAAATTGTTCGGAGGTGAAACTCGTTGTACAGGGTTTGGAGAGAGGTGCGTGGTGGTGGAGGGCGTGGGGGATGGGGGGGGGGGGGGGGGGGGGGGGCATAAGGAGCGGGAGAGGTGGGTAGATGTGGGCTGTGGTGAAGGGTAGTTGAGGCTGTGGGGGTGGCAGGACAAGGGTGGGGTTTGATATTGTGGGCTGGGTTTGTTTGGGGATTGGGTAAGAGATGGTCGGGGAGGCAACTGGATAAAGGGTGATATGCCTTAAAATCCTCGCTACCAGTTATCGTATTATGTCTTTATAACACTGTCGACACTTCGAATAACACCCATCAACGTGTTGCTGGGTTCAAATCATCACCAGTTTCCGTCGAACAGCATATTGCCCGTCAGTCAGAACACCAATTATATATACAACCCAAGTTGCCTACTGATGCGCTAGAATGTTAACAGTCCTGCCGGGTACCAATACATGGCTTAGTGAACAGAGGCATTTTTCAAACAAAATCTCCCGCAGCAGGAGACACCACATGTTTTTTTTAAAAAAGCCCTAGGAACTCCTAGGATTCAAGTTGCCGAACTCGGTCAACCATCCACCTACTCTCCGCAACCATCATTGCTTAACTTCGCCTGATTTGTGGCCTGTGCGCTTTAAATGTGACAGACATGACCGTCATATCATCGTTCTATATATACGAACACCGTTGTTTCCACCACATTGTCTGTGGTATTGACTACTGGATAAATGCAACAGATACACAAACTTCAACACAGTTTACTGTTAGCCTATTCTTGTAGAGATCTGCACTGACATTCCACTCCACTACAGAGGGTTATCTGACATATTTAACTCACTCGTGGATCATTCACGTACAAATGTGCACAAGCATAAAAGACAAGCATCATATTCGTAATCAGGTCTGTATTACCAACGTTCTACGTACCGGAGCGTTTAATGCGAATTCCGGGTTAGAACTGGTCCCAGCAACCTCTACTGGTCGTGAGAGGCGATTTAAGTGGTCAGGTTCTGTGGTCAGGCTCGCTGACTTGGTTGATGACCTGTCACCGTACATCAACGGCGTGAATCGTTTCTCACAATATCCATCACTGGATTGTCTGGACTCGATTAGTTACAGGATGTCGTGATACATATAGAATATCACCCGACTGTCTTTTGATATCAAATATATCAAAAAAGGTTACAAAAGTTTAAAACTCCGCGTCTTGTCAAAATATCACCCAAAATTGGCTTCCACGAGAACAAGCGATATCGCCTAGGATATATAGTTTCAATGAATTTGCTTCACTATGCGTGTGATATACTCCACTCGGACACGTATACTGACTCCGAACCGACCAGTCCGTATTATTCCCTTAATACCCAGCGCCAAACAGGGTAACAAGTACCATCTTCTAACATGTTTTGGCATGACGCGGCCAGGGATCGAACTACCGACCTTTCGCTCTGCAGGCAGACGCTCTATCCATCAAACCACAGAGGCGATCCCATCGAAAACAGCCAACAATAATTGCAACAATGACTCTGCGATCAATGTCACCTGTGATACACGTATCTCGGATGTGCTACTCTACCAGCTCCTCGAGTGCTGGTAGGCATGCGTTGTCATACTAGTTGAAGTGTCATCAGGGATCATTACACTTCAATATACAACCCTACACCACATGATCCCGAATTACAGAGAGTCATGTCGGCTCTGGTCAAACACTGTGTTGACTCGGGTCAAACATGTCGCCCTGTGCTACTCGTTGTGAAGGATTAAACGACGAACGCGCAAACAGAATCATTGTCATCAGTTTTCATGTACAGGAGCATAAGATTTCGGTTGTCCACAAATATCCTGGCGGACACGGGTGGCCCAGTGGTCTAAGGCGCCACAATTCGCTGTGCAGAGTTGCGTCCCTTGGGCACGCCAGCAAACCTATGATTGTGGGTTCGAATCCGGTTCGCCAAGATTATGTTTCTAGGTTTGTCAGCACCATACCCGTGCTCGTGGGTTTCACCGAAGTGGTAAACGTCTGAGACCTGCATCACTTCGGGCTTTCCTCCCACATTAAGCTGACACGCCGTGATATAACTGGAATACTGTTAAAAGCGGCGTTAAACCCAACTCACACTATTGCTGCTATATGACGGCGGTCTGTAAATAATCGAGTCTGGACCAGACAATCCAGTGATTGACATCTTGAGCATCAATCCACGCAATTTGGATACAATGACATGTATCAACCAAGTCAGCGAGCCTGACCACCCGATCCCGTTAATCGCCTCTTACGACAGGCATATTCTACCCCGGATCTTCACGGGTCAAGACGTATGGCGTATTGGGTTTTAAGTGTTTGAAGGCACAGGTTGTCTTGCCAGGTTCTAAAAGTGAAGTATTTATTTTACCAACAGCCACTTTTGAAACGTGGCAAAACCCTTTCCATAATCATAAGAAATATCTTACAATGTACGATTCCGGCAACATAATGAGCGTGTGCTTATCGATCCATATCAAATAGTGAAGCGTATCCTGCTCCGCCGATGGCACTGAGAGCATTGTCGTACATTTCACATTTCTAACCTGTTTCCTGAATCATCACCTAAAACTTCAAATAAAGATTGTCATGACTAACGTATAACACTACTTCATTATAACGCCAGCAGGCCCTGATTGGTCAGTAAGGTTGACCATTGTTGGTCATACTCATCCCGTGTCTATTAAAACGGTTGGGATTCGACCACGGTACCACCCTTTCAATTTAATGTCAGATCACAGATACAGGTACTATCGGACACCGATGGTCATCGATCTTTATTTTCTAGGTCGAAAATCGTATCTTGTATGTCAAGGAAACCATGGTTATTGTGTCACAAAACCATTTTACCCGACATTTGAATTGATCCCAGGTTTTATACATTTACAGAAGTTATGTGACTGCAGCGAAAAGGAAGAAGTGATATGTTGTTTATTGACAATGTCGACTGTATTAAACTACACACCCTCAAGGAGGTCATCTTTAATGAGTACACGCAGACCTTCTAACTTGACCCAGAGAGCGGAAGGTCGTAGGTTCGATCCCTGCCACGTCATACCAAAAGACGTTAACATATGGTACTTGTTGTTACCCTAGCTCGTGCTCGGCATTAGGGGGCTAAAACAAGGACTGGTCGGCTCAGAGTCAGTATACGGTGTATGCACGTCGCATAAATTATGACCCCATTTTACCTCACTTCACCATCCGAGTTGAAGACTAATTGAAAGATATTAATCATGAGAATCGCAGATAATAACAATGTAAATTTCGACTTTCATACTTTACACATTGAAACATGACATTGAAGCAGTGATCAATTACAAAGAAATGAATGAATGAGTGAGTGAGTAAGGTTTTACGCCGCTTTTAACAATATTCCAGTAATATCACGGAGGGGGACACTAGAAATGGGCTTCACATGGGAATCGGACCCGGGTCTTCGGCGTGACGAGCGAACGCTTTAACCACTAGGCTACCCGACCGCCCCGAATGAAAATGTGACCTGTCAGAAGTACAAGATAAAATCCAACTTGCCCCAGTTTGCCCCAGTTTGCCCCAGTTTGCCCAAGAACTCAAGTCGAATCCGTCAATATATTAATTTATAACCTATTGTCGTCATAACTATATTAATCATGAAGTCATTAGGCAAATATATCATCGAATCTTTTAAACTGGGGCATTCATAGCCTTTAAATGAACTATTGTAACCCAACACCCATTCCGTCTTCTCACATGAACTGCATATGGAAGGGCCAGATACGTTAATGTGTGTCCGTCTTTATGTAAGTTACATTGAAAGTTAAGAGGATTGCCTTTCATTGACACCCGGTAGTAAAATGAAAGAATGCACGCAATTGAAATCAGCTTGGCTGCACACCTGGGTGTAATAAGCAGCACTATCTGACCAAAGTGATTGGTCTCCACATAAGGATAAGTTTCTGGTATCTAACGAGGGTGTGGAATGTGCTTTCTAAGACAGGTATTCAAACATATTTACTCTTCTACCAGTGGGATCCATACAAGGCTACACCTGATCCTCACACCTCGGGTATGGTGACTCCAACTCAATAACTATATTACAGACCGACCATTTGATATTCTGAGACGCCGGGTTTTATCGAGAGAAAAAAAGTGTCGCCAAAAATTCTTGACAAAAATATATTTTAGCTTCTGACTATTGAAAAGCAATAAATTGTCAGCCACATAAATTACATTGATCCAAGGTGTGTTTTTTATTGTTTTAATTGCCAATGATAAAATATCCCCGAATATCCCTTATGGCTGGTGCACAGCTCGTTATGAACATACCCCATCATTGCAGATCAGTCACACATAAACCAAACCAGCACATCAACCTCGACATACCCCAGACATACTCAAGTGATAAATAAATGCACCTGTAATTACACGTATTGCATGAATACCGCCATTGTCAGGCGGGGAAGCTCCGGTACACCCAGGTGTGCATCCAGGATTGGCAAGTATTTCTGTAATATTTTTTGGCATGTCAGAGTTGACATAAACACACCCAGGTCGTGATTACAGTTACTTTTGGTTTCATGTTCCCCATCAGTGTCTATATGCATGATAACGTGATTTAACACCTTTAAAGCATAGTACCAGCATACGGTGTAGTGTGTTTCCTAGTTGTGTGTTTCCTATTTGCATTGTACAAAGGTAAACTATCCCATTAACGAACGTTGAAAACTTTCCTCTGAGGTATGTAGACTCGGAATGACGAGAATGAAAGCACTCATTCATAAAAACATGCATGTTCTCCGTACATGTTCACATTCCTTGGCTATTTTCCCATTACTGATTATGTCATCACATAAAAACATATTAATCGCTGAATAATAATCATATCACCCAGACATTCAAACGGATATGTCTGCAAATCAAATCTGTCGTTGCAATTTATACTATACCTACAGACAGGCTAAACATTCTACTCTGTTTGAACTCACCTGGGCAAGAGCGTCCGCCTTTCGCGTGGTTGACAACTGAATAAGCCGGCAACTGAATAAGGCAGTGAATGGTTCACCGTGCGTAGTTGTAGCGAGTAAATAGGGCGGATCCAGTCGACTACAGCGCCACATGAGCTTGTATGTCGTTAAAGCCACAGTAGGTCACGAGACACCCATGAACGTGTTCTGGCCATCTTACGTGTGTATATATGGGAACATATTATCTGCTTCCATGCCTTTACGTTCTGACGGAAATTTCACGAGTGAATTTGGAAAGATGTATAATGCATATATAATATAAATGCTTAAGGCGTATCTATTTGTCTATTATTGTACATAAATGTTCAGCATAATTCAATATCAGATCAAGACATAAACGCAAGTGGTCTTCGATTTTGATTTTGAATATTTATTATTCGAAAGATAGACTGTGAGTATATATTGAAAGTTAAATATCAATGAGTATGGTGTAATGCCGATTTGTTTCTTCAAATCATGGCGTGTCAGTTTGATGTCGGAAGAATGCCCCTAGTGCTGCAGGCCTAGGCCTTCATTTTGGTGAAACACACGATGGTTCTGACAAACCAAGAAAAAGTAGTCGGAGCGAATCCGGGATTCGAACCCATGATCATAGTTGTCTGGCACGCCTAAGGGAAGCAACTCCGCAATTGCGACGGATGAGTCAGTGTCGTGAAATTTTGATACAACTGTAATTTTTCAAAACTATCTTTTTAGATTTGAATTTTAGTTTAGGACTGGTCATTTAACATCAGGTGGTGGGGTAAGGGGTGGGGCTTCACGAAAAACATGTTACATGTATTTGGGTGGGAGGTGGGGGTCCATGTAATTTTTATATGAAATGGGGGAGGGGGGTGGGGGCAGTAAACTATATCAAATGTCCAGGCTCTAAATGGATTTTGGATGTCACATTTTCACATTTATGAAGCGAATTAAAAGTCATATGATTTGCATGCATTTCAAAAGTTTTACCTACAACAGAATCTCTGCTTGACTAAACAGATACGCATCGCCTACTGCAAATACATGAGTGATATTAATGACTAATTTCGAATTTTACAAAGAATGCAACAGTAGCGTAAATCCCTATCGATGAAAGAGTTACTTCACTGGGTCATGTTTGGACCAAATTGTCAAAATGACAGCGCTGAAAGTGAAAAGAGAAGGGCCCAGCATATACCCCTGCTGCACGTCTAGTCTGTCTACCAGTACAAATTGGATACCTTGGTGACTGGGCGAGCAGACATTAATACAAATATAATCAGCCCCGAGGCGTTAGTTTTATGTTTGAGAACGGCTGGTTTTTAGAAATGATCAACATTGCCTTTGGCAGGTAGAGCCACAACGTAAATGAAAATGTCAGCGCAAGAGAATAATCAGTCTCGATTATCTGCCGAAACAGATTCCACGGGGCGCAATAGGCAATATAATGATGAAAAGTATATGGATGGACCATCAGTGATGGACTAACAACTTGTCACTACAGAAAAAAAAACAGTTGTTAAATTTTCTTAATACAATATAATAAAAACGAGCCCAGAGTTCAGAGACTGCAGTAGTCTCAACTGGCCATCTATTATATACTTACATGTGTTGTATTGGATATACCATATTCGGCGTAATAAGCGCCCCGCACTTATAAGCGCCCACGGCGATATTTGCTAATATATTGGCTAGTGAACAATCCCAATTAGCACCCCTTCCGATTGATCAATGTACACAGGACTTATTTATTCGCGCATGATACGCACTCGTGTGTTATATGCACCCTTAATTATGGGCAATTAATTTCTGGAAAAAATATGTCTGTCGTACATGAACACGAAATTTATCTTTCAACTCTGTTTTTTTTCCACCAAAATAATATTTTTATAAGAGCCCCCTATTTCTTATTTTGAGAGCGTCCTGGGCGCTCATTACGTCGAATACGGTATTTGTTTCAGGGTCTGTATGACAGACTAAATCAGTGATGCCACGAGGTGGTACACATGAAGTGTAACACGTGACGTAGTTGCTATTGCAGGACCGACGGGATTTTCCTTCAGCGCTGATAGAACATACGGGATTCTCCTTCAGCACTGTTAGAGCAGACAGGGGATTATTAATTAAGCCAGAGGTGATACTGACCCGGAACTACTGTCGATTACTCTAGAAAATATTGTTACCAAAGTCGAACATTTCATAATAGATGATACTTTCTTCTACGTACATTATTGTATTATGTACGTAGATGAAAGTATCTTCTACGTAGATGTGAGTAGCAACATCTACGTAGATGTAAGTATACGCTTCGTAGATGTAAGTATCCGTTACGTAGATTATACCTTATTTTAGACTGTGGCACTGATACGCTTAGACGACTTTGTTATAGCCGGTCATTGTTACATACGAGTACGTATTGTCAAGTATTGTCAAGTATTGTCAAGTGTTGTACTCACTCAATGTAGGACACGGCAACAGGACCCCGCATCTCCTGACCCCTTTCACGCTACATCGTCGGCCAGAAAAGGACACGACAACAGGTGTTAACAGGATTACCGGTTTCTCTGTAGTCTCTTGTTACGAGTTTCGGTACGTGTGCTCCTTGATGAAAATGTTTGAAAACGCGATCGTGAATATTTGCTTGTTTCAGTAAGTGAAGGCTGCCCCTCATGCTACCCGCCCCAATTTCATGCTCCCACCCCGTTCTTTTTCTACCCAGCTACCCACCCCGTTCAAGCTACCCAGCTACCCACCCGTTCTTTCTACCTAGCTACCCACCCGGTTCTTTCTACCCAGCTACCCACCTCGTTCATGCTACCCACCCGGTTCTTTCTACCCAGCTACCCACCCCGTTCATGCTACCCACCTCGTCCATCCCAGTCATACTCCACCCTTTTCATGCGCCCCACCCCTGTCATATACCCACCCGTTTCATGCGCCCTATCCATGTAATACCCCACCCTTTTCATGCGCCCCATCCATGCCATACACCAACCCTTTTCATGCACCCCACCATTGTTATACCCCAACCCTTTTCATGCATCCCATCCATGTCATACCCCACCCATTTCATGCGCCCCGCCACTGTTATACCCCACCCTTTTCATGCGCCCCATCCATGCCATACCCCCACCCTTTTCATGCGCCCCATCCATGACATACCCCCACCCTTTTCATGCACCCCTTTCATGACATACCCCAACCCTTTTCATGCGCCCCATCCATGCCATACCCCCACCCTTTTCATGCGCCCCATCCATGTAATACCCCACCCTTTTCATGCGCCCCACCACTGACATATCTCACCCTTTTCATGCACCCCATCCATGCCATACACCAACCCTTTTCATGCACCCCACCATTGTTATACCCCAACCCTTTTCATGCATCCCATCCATGTCATACCCCACCCATTTCATGCGCCCCGCCACTGTTATACCCCACCCTTTTCATGCGCCCCATCCATGCCATACCCCCACCCTTTTCATGCGCCCCATCCATGACATACCCCACCCTTTTCATGCGCCCCATCCATGCCATACCCCAACCCTTTTCATGCGCCCCATCCATTACATACCCCACCCTTTTCATGCGCCCCGCCACTGTTATACCCCACCCTTTTCATGCGCCCCATCCATGCCATACCCCCACCCTTTTCATGCGCCCCATCCATGCCATACCCCAACCCTTTTCATGCGCCCCATCCATGACATACCCCACCCTTTTCATGCGCCCCGCCACTGTTATACCCCAACCCTTTTCATGCGCCCCATCCATGCCATACCCCAACCCTTTTCATGCGCCCCATCCATGCCATACCCCACCCTTTTCATGCGCCCCATTCATGACATACCACCCACGTTTCCTATCCTCCCCATCCTCTTCATGCACGCCGCACCAGCACTTAGCCTACCTCTTGTGTCGTCTAGAAGGCGGAACCAGCAGTGTACATAAGCTCGACCGAAGACTGTTTCGCCTTGAGACGAAAGGTGGTTTTAGATAACAATGGCCATACCCGTCCTACAGGATCATTAATCTTACCCGAGACCAGTAGATACACACTTCCTGGTGTCAGCCGTTGTCGCGGGATATCCTTGTTTATACATGCATTGAGTGTGATGTGTTACCTTGTCCACCCTCTGCATGTCATGAATCATGCCCAAATAACATGGCATCTATGGAGCGATAATGCGTATTTATTTGTCATGTTGAACCACACGCGTGATAATAAACGAGACGTCTATAGATAAAAAACCACTAAACGAGACATCTACATATATAAGTACTTATGTGTGTCTGTGGGTGTGGGTGTGTGTTGGTGTGTGTGTACATATGTGTGTTGGTGTGTTGGCGTGTGGGGGAGAGATATGAGGGGGTGGGGTGGCATTCCTCCAAAATTCAGCTGTTAGTCTTTGATTTAAGGGACCGATGACATGGGTGTATAGGGGGCTGGGCTTTTAAGGACCAAAAATATTGTTCGATTGACATGATTGTGTTGTGAAAAAGATTCAGCTCCTCCTTTCAGAGATGAAAATAATGCCTACAAGCTGGTTTCGAAAAATTGTTGCCAAGAAAAATCACCACCACCCCCACCACCACCACATGTCATTGCCTCACCGTACACAGAGGCGTAAAACAGAACTCCTCCACAGACTAATAATAGCAGGCAGTCCATGTCGATAGACGACATTCAACTGTATCCACCCTTAGCTGACTCGTTGTGTACACGGAACGCTTGTGGAATGTCGTCAGACAACACATTATGTCACATTGTCAAACAACGCTCATCGATTTGATATAATTATCTTGAGGGATGCCAAGGTGTGGTCATATGGGATAAGAGTGAGTGAGTTGTGGTTAACGCCGCTTTTAACAGTATTCCAGTTATATCACGGCGTGTCAGTTTAATGTGGAAGGAAAGCCCGAAGTGATGCAGGTCTTAGACGTTTACCACTTCAGTGAAACCCACGAGCACGGTGCTGACAAACCAAGAAACATAATCCGGGCGAACCGGGATTCGAACCCACAATATGGGATAAGAACATCACTCCACAAACAACTAAACTGACATCACATTCAATTTGCTTTTAGGGTTAAAGGACAAGTTTACAAATAAACCTTTAACTATTGTATGGAATGGCTAGTGT